TCACCATGAAGGACCTGCTGCTGACATGAGAGTGCCTAGGGGCAGCCCACCTGATGGTCTTATCCGAGCATAGAAAACAGAATTGATTTATGAAAAATAAGTCCAGCATGCCAGATTCGCTTTTGGCTAAAGCCAATGGAAAATCTTTAGTGCAAGACAGCCTAGCATACGAAACCACAACATCTCGCATAAGAATGGAGGTGGAGGCGGTGACTGCAGCTCTCCTGTGGCTATAGAACAAGATGCATACATATGTAGTAATTGTAACAGACTCTAAAAGCATGCTGAGAAAGATGAAGGCAGGATTCGAACAGAGTGGCAAGCTTTACGGGTAGTGAGCATACTTTGGATCTTTTCTCCAGGATATGCCGGCGTGGTGGGTAATGAACAGGCAGACAGTTTGGCTGGATCTGTACCACTAGGTGGTGAATTGATACATGACAAGGCAGATGTGGTCAAGGCCCTTTGGGAACAAGCAACGGAATCAGTAGAGAAAGAAGATTATTATGGGCTGGAGAGAATGAGGCACCTGGATGTAACCAGAAGGTCTGGCTGGCTCACTACACTTAGAGGTAAAGCAAGACAGACATATAACCAGATTGGGACCGAATCCGTTAGTATTAAAACTCTGCGCTGGCTGCTGAAGATCAGGACGAAGCATGCATGGGAATGCCCCGAGTGGTGTGATGTCAATTTTTGACTTAACTCAACTCAACTTGGCGTGGAAAGGGTCCTTGGTGTGTTCTTATTTCATTTTTTCTTGGCATGAGATGTTTTTTTTTTAGTTTGCCTATTCATATTGTTACCTACTACTTTGTTTGCAGTCTGAAGATGAAGATTCTCTTGCTAGTTTATATAATGGTCATTGCTGGCATTGTGGATGTGTCTTCAGACAACACGGCCTGCCCCTATGAGGTTCACTGACATGTGTTTACTTGTATATGTTTTTGTTGTATCTCAACAAACTATTGTAATATTTTCTGTTATAACGTTTATTGTTTTCATGCTATTCTTTTGATTGTTAAGCGGATAAATGTGCGAATGAAGGTAATGTGAAGGAAAGATCCAATTTCTAGGTCTCAAGAATCAATGAAGATAATATTCTCATGTGTGAGTGTATTGCGTGTACGGGTGTATGGAAATATATTTGTATATGTATGTATGTATGTATATATATATATATATATATATATATATATATATATATATATATATATATATCTGTGTGTGTGTGTGTGTGTGTGTGTGTGTGTGTGTGTAGGTTGTGCTTGGAGCAATGGCTAGACACTCACTGTCGGGCGAAATTGTGTCCGGTTCAAATCCCAATCGAGACAAATAAAATAAAAAATATACATAGTCATGGACTCACAGCTTGAAAAAAGGCACCAGGAAATGTCTTAGGAAGTAAAGATGACCGGCGGGATGTTGACCACATTACCCATTGAGTACCTATGTGTATATGCAAATGTTACATACAGATAACATGTATTACAAAGATCTACCCTGGCTAGTAATAGATATCTTCCTGCATCTTCTAAGCGTTCACAGGCTGTAAACTCGGGTGAACATTTATGGTTGTTCGTCCACTTCAGGACTTTTGGTTCCAGAATATGAGTTTTTTTGTCTACATCCGTTGAACAGAACTATTCGTTTGTGGCCCCTCAGACAGATGCATTGCAGCTTCGAAACAAAAAACACCCCTAAAAAGTAGCCTAGTACGACATGATTGTTGGGGCAGTGGTTCTATTGTTCACACAATAAAAAGGGTTCTGAAAATAATAAGAAGGAAGAAAAATCAGATCAATATAATAAGATAGAGTGTGTATCTAATTTGTTCACAGGGATGTGAGTGCTACATAGGCAGTATTGAATGCGAGGGTGTCAACTGGCAGACGTTACCTAAACTGCTCGTTTCAGAAGCTGAGGAATCGATTTTGAACTTACGGGTACATATATATATATTTTTTTTCTTTCTTGGTGTCCACGTTATCATCATTATTAACAGTGAAATTTTTAGATCAGAGATTGTTTTCTGAGTTTGTCCTGATACACACACACACACACACACACACACACACACACACACACACACACACACACATGCTTGTTTGTGTTCTTACTATTTGAAGTATTTCTTCTTTCGTATTTTTCTAGCCCTTATCCCCAATGGAGCATAGGCCCTCAAACAGCTCACGCCAAGTCGCCCTATTCTTATCAATTGCATGCAGCTCACCCCAAGTCTCCTCATTCTTTTCGAATTCAATCTCTAGTCCCTTTCTATGTATTTGTCGGTCTGCATTGTATTCTATCATTGCGGGTTTGAGTGCAAATTCATTCTAGTAATGCTGCTCTCAAATTCCTCAATTTGAATCGTATCCAATGTCAGCGTCTTTTCATCTTATCTTGAATTACTGGAATTTGTTTGGTTACCTCCACACGCTCAATATTAGTGATTCTATCACAAAATTATGGATTTTAACCCTGGTGTAGGGCATCGCAAATCCACCCAGTCTAAAATGGGTACCAGTGGGGCTGCCCTGAAGAAGTGGAGACGGCTGATGTAATGCTGACCACATTACCCACCGAGTGCTGATTGGTCTGTGAAAATATGGGATGCTCTCTCCATATGCCCGATGCGCCTAATGCGTGAAAATGGATCTTCACATTTTTACTTGTTATCACCACATTTATTTCCCCTATTTTTCAAAGGCACCAGTTAATAAATGTTTGTAGCTTATTAGCAGCTGTTTTAGTTCTCTATTATTCTGGCCAAACACCAGTACTGATTTGAAATAGGAACTAAACATGTTAAGTTTAGTATTAATTTTAATTTTGTTGTTGACCTCCACAAATTCCCTAGTGAGATGAAATCTCCTCTTGCCTTTTGTCTTCGTATTGAACAATATTTATCAGTTACCCCGTCTTTACCTTCACTACTGCTCAAATAGATGTATGCCTCAACATCTTTCAGTGTGATATCACCAAGAGAGATCAGAATACACGTTTACCAGATCTATTCTCATTATTTCTGTCTTTCCTGTATCGATTTTTTTTGAACTAACTTGTGATCTGGCTTCAAGCATGTTTGATTTATCATCGAGGAGATATTATCAGCCAAGTTCAGGTCATTAGGCAGTTTTGTAGGGGTCCACTGAATAACATTCATGGTGTTAGCAGTTGATGTTTTCATAATGTAGTCTAGTGCTAGTAAAAATAACAGAGGAGACAGAATCCATCCCTGTCGCACTCCTGTTCGTTTTTCGAATGTATCTGTTAGCTTTCCCTCATGCAGAATTCGACATTTCATGTATTTATATTTTGCTTTTTCTAAAATAATAATTTTGTGTAATTCTATAGTGGATCATCAATTTTCGGAGAGTCCCAATTATTTGTGTCAAAGGCTTTTTACATTGTCTATGAATCCAATATAAACTGGTCAATTTAATTTAACGCTTTGCCCTATTATTGTGTGTAGTTTGGCTATCTGGTCAGTTGACAGTCTGTCTGGGCCGAAGACCTGCCTTTCAATCCATTATTTGTTTATCACGGCATTTTTTAGTCTTTCCAAAATAACCCTACCTAATATTTTCAACAACTCTAAGCTGCTGGCGTTTCTTCAGTCTCCCAAACTTTAGTGAATAATTTGTTTAGCAATTCCGTAGATATACTTGTTATCTTTACTAACGTCTATTGGGATACCATATGGACCTGCGGCCTTCCCTTCCTCCAGTAAACAGTAGCTTTTCTAATTTCCTCTTTAATTGGTATCTCCCAGTTGATACTCAGCTTATTTTTTTAAAAGCTGAATATCTTGAGGATCATCTAGTGCTGAACTATTTAGTACTTTAGAATATGCAGCCCATGTGTCAACGTAATATTTTTTGTTGGTGATAACCTTTCCTTGTTTACCATCATCATCATCAAGCTCTCTTACCATAAACTGTTTCCTTTATTTTTGTTTTCGATAGATTGTTTTATCGTTTGGTGAAACCAAAGTAGTTTGACTGTGCGGTTATAATAATACCATTTCTTCTACTACTACTACTACTACTACTACTACTACTACTACTACTACTACTACTACTACTACTACTACTACTACTACTACTACTACTACTACTACTACTACTACTACTACTACTACTACTACTACTATTACTACTACTACTACTACTACTACTACTACTACTACTACTACTACTACTACTATTACTACTACTACTACTACTACTACTACTACTACTACTACTACTACTACTGCTGCTGCTGCTACTACTACTAATACTGCTGCTGCTGCTACTACTACTACTACAAATATTACTGTGCTGCTGCTGTCCTAACTACTACTATTAATAATACTACTACAATTACTTCTATCGCTCCTGCAACACCTTATGTGGTACTACTGACACTGGGATCAGCGGTTAGACGCTTGTGTGCCGGTCCGAAGCTTTTGGGTTCAAATACGCACGGGGTTTCGATTGTTTCTCTTTAGAAACATCCTTGGCTCCCAGTTGAAATCAGCTAAAATAGCAACCAGGTAACTTCTTGGGAGGTAAAGGCAACTATCACCCATCGAGTGCTAATCAATCTATACGGGACTAACAGTACATGCCCGCTGCGCCACTAGCTTAAAAAAAAAACAAACTTTAATACTATTGCGTCTAAAATCTATCACATTGCTTGCTTTATATTTAACAAAAAATGTTTTCAACTGTTGCTTTACAATTAATACAATTCCTACTTACTTCCTGCAGTATAACTTTCTGACGACAATAGAACCGAGAAGTCTACCGTCTGGACTATATGAAATCGACTTAAGGAACAACCCTTTGCTAACTATAGATCCTTCAGGACTCAACGGATCGTCAGACACATTACACAAGCTTTCATTCTCTGGAGCCAGATTCACCCAGATCCCTGCAGCTCTGGCTGAGTTGAATGCACTGACGGATCTTTCCATAGAAGATACTTATATTTATACGTGGGATGATAATACGATGAGGCATATTGGTTTAACTTTGGTGACCCTAAAACTGGACAATGTCAGCTTGTCTTCATGGCCGGAGTGGCTTCAGTATTTCCCCCATCTTCAGACATTAGAGATGACCTGCCAGTTCCCGTCAATCCCCGACAATGCTTTTGATGGGCAGGAAAATATTTTGATGACTCTAACATTAATTAATGGCATTCTGACAGAAACATCGCTTTCTTTATCTAACCTTTCCTCTCTGTCCACATTGGTATTAGATAATAATAATATTTCTAGAATAAACAGCCTTCCTAACTTTGGTATTCTATCATCTATAAGTATTAACTACAACCGTTTATCTAACGCCACACATTTAAGCGATATACTTAGATCCGTATCAAATTCCCTCACCATTCTTCAGGCTGAAGAAAACAAACTCAGCAGTTTTCCAGACTTGTCTTTCATGACGAAATTACTCGAAATCTACCTTTCCAACAATCTTATCTCAGACACGAGTTCAGGGTTCATCTCGCCTTCAGTCACATATCTTGAAGCAGAGAACAACAATATCCGATCGCTTGTGGGTTTTCTATCAAAAGCAGAAGATCTACAATATTTAAAATTAAAGGGAAACAGAATAATAAGTGTCTCTAGAGAAAATATACCGTTGAAAGTTTCTGAATTAGATTTATCAAAAAATTTAATTGCCAAACTAACTGACACCAGTTTCCCAGAAAATAACTCACTAAATCTACTTTTCTTGAACTACAACCCGATATCCACAATCTCACCATCAGCCTTTGCCAGTCTAACCAAGTTGGATTCGATTTCTCTGAGAGGCACAAAGCTGGCTCGACTACCCCTAGCATTAGGTTCTTTAACGAATTTAGTATCACTAGATTTGAGTGAGAGTTCTTACTTGGTCTGTTCATGTCAGGAGAAAGCGTTGAGGTCTTGGTATTTGAGCAGGCCTCTTGCATGTTTCGGAGAATGCGGTCCATTAACCATCGCTTACTTCCTGAATATGTTTAGTGAAGGTTGCTGGTAAAATGGCGGCTAGTAAAAGCGTTTTAAAGCATACATATACATATTAAAAGCATCATTTGCCGTTACACATTGTTTATTTTTTAAATTTTCAAAACCTAAGTTTTCGGTGCTCTAGAAGTACTCGTAAGACAACTAGCTCAATGTTAAAGGTATAAAACACACATTTGTTTTCAATTTGCAGTAATGCGTGTGTACCCGCTGCTGCTTCCATTGGCTGTGAAGTGCGATTCTTGTGTCAGACTCTTGGTGTTGAAACTCTGGTCACTGCCTTATGCATTTATTACCTGAACTAACTGAATACTTTTGTCTTGACTGCTGGTTGTTTAACTTGTCACACTGGTTACTGATAAGCATTTTGTATGGTTTTCACCTCCCAGGAGCGAAGCAAACATGGGGTGACCCGTTTGCCTTGAGGGGTGGAGCCGCCACTGATAACCTGATTGCATATTCTATCACTAGCAGCTCAGTAAAGCAAAATAATGTCTAACAGACGTTATTACAAACAGGAAAACCGTTGTCTTCCCCTTTCTTTCGTTCTTTCTGCCAGTGTTTATCAGATGAGAAGGTCAAAGGCCTAATTGGAACGCCAACTGACAAGACCTGGGATTTGTCTTTTGCATAAAGAAAGCATGTCTGTATCACGTGTTAAGCGTTTGGTGGTGCCTGCCCACGTGGGTACAGTTCTGAATCCCCAATCTTGAATTTTTCGTAGATATGACTGCAGAGTCGGTTGTTACAAGTAAGTAGTCTAAAATGGTCAGTTCTTTCGTTTGAGGAGATTGGTCTTCAGGATTGTGTCTTGGACGGGAAGTGTTCCAGTGGGAGATTTCCTGGATGGACAGTGTTCCAATGGGAGGTTTCCTGGATTGGAAGTGTTCCAATAAGAGGTTTCGTGGATCCGAAGTGTTCCAGATGGAGGTTTCCTGGATCGGAAGTGTTCCAATGGGAGGCTTCCTGAATTGGAAGTGTCCAGAGGGAAGTTTCCTGGATGGGAAGTGTTCCAGTGGAAGATTTTGTGGATCGGAAGTGTTTTAGTAGGTTCTTTAGGCTGTTAAATCTTATTTTTAGCGTTTCATAGAGCAGTGTAAGACAGGAAGGAAAAAAAAAGGGGAGAAGATGGTGTTGTTTGAGCTTGAAGAAGTAGGCCTGTCTGCTTAAGACAATCGAAACAAATGCCCATCTAAAATAATTAGAGTACTTACAGAGAAATCGTTTCAGTTGTTCAGAATGAAAATCGAAAGTTTCATCGCTCGCGCGCTACGCTCGGAATTAGTAACGAACTCAGGCCCATCTCGACCCATCTACACACTTTGTCACCTTCATTGATGCTTGGTCAGGCTTGACCACATTACTCAAGGTTACAGTGGTGTCCTGATGTACTGATGTAGACTGCACTCTCTCGTGAGTCCTAGGTTAAGTGTGTGGGGGAGAGGGTTGGGGTTAGAGCTGTCATGGGGTCGTCAAAGGCCCTAACATCCTGTAATATAGAGCAGACGTGGTCTCCGGTAGGAATGTCAACCAAGCTGACGTCCCTGCCAATGACACTTACGTGTCTCACATGTTAAGTCGGAGACTGAGCGTCCAATCCCAGTGTCCTGGTTTGACTACGTCAATCATAAGTGGGTAGATGGGCCCGAGTTCGTTACAGGTACCCCACGCTCCTCAAAGAAGTGGCTTTATGTAGCCCCCATTCCTGGAGTAATCTTTCCCTTGGTGGGGGTAGTGATAGTTAGCAACAAGAATGCACAAAATGTCACCTCCACAACAGTCTAACGGTTTTAATGTGCGAAGAATCCGCGTAACTTCGGACACAAACAACGTAAGTGAAACAACAGAATCCAGTTCAGTGGATATTTCCGTAAGATGACGACTGTATACTGCCTCTATTTCTTAGGAAGATCCCTTCTACCATTTAAGGCCTGGACAACCAGCCAAGGTCATTTAAAAAGAATAAATAAATAGCCCTGCTCTGTAGGGACCTGAACCGACGACTTTCCGATCTGCAGGCGAGCGTGTAACCGCTACACTAGAGCACCCCCCCCCCCTCCCCCCACCCCATTTCCACAAAACACGATTAAAAAAATGCAAATCCTTTATCAGCAAATTTTGAAAGCATGTATGTATGTATGTGTAATTTCCCGCTGCAAGTAAGCATGTTGGCGAATGTGCGATCTACGAACACGATCTATGCATTTATGTTAAAGTGGGAAACACTTTGCCCTTATCTCTCAAACAGTTTGATTATATGTTCACTAACACTAGGAAAACGTGTTTAATTTTTTTTTTTTTTTATCGTAAGGTGTGTAGCTATAACTGATTTGTGGTTTGTATAGTTTGCATTTCTTGATTTCTTTTGGTTTGTATACATTGTAATTTGTAAATTAATTTGATCTGTATACTACTGTTTGTAAGTCGTTTTGACTTGATGTGTTTATGTTATTAAACTTAAATTGGTTTCATTTCTACAGACTGCATTGTAATTATATAGAATTATTTACACAGGTAGCTTTGTGTTGTGTGTTTTATTATTATTATTATTATTATTATTATTATTATTATTATTATTATTATTATTATTATTATTTTTATTATTATTATTATTATTATTAATATTATTGTAACCTGATATTTATCATCTGGCTTGATATTGAAAATACTTTTAATAAGAGATATTTTCTGTTTAACTCTTTGAATACCAGGGGGTTCAGCATCAGAGGCCCAGGGGATATTAAAGACAGAGGTTAAATCATCACATCTTGGGTTAATTTGGCTTCTAAGTAGAAACAGGTAAAAGTAAAATGCGTTTCTTAGGACTGACAGAATTTTAATGCTCCAGCCTATGAGTGTACATATATATGGGTGCTGCGTGGTCTCGAGGCATGGTGTCCGCCTCGAGTGCTAGAGGTTCCAGGTTCAATGCCGGGTAAAGGCTGGGACTTGGACTTCTATTAAATTCCCCTGGTCTCTGGGTAGTAGGACCGGACGCCCGTGTGCATTGTTGCGAACGTAAAAAAATACCTTTGCAGCTGAAAATCGAAAAGAGTAGTCTAACGGCGCTGCCGGGGCAAAATGTGGAGTTAAAAATCTACCCAAAGTATTTCAGGATCCTTGCCGGTGCTACAGAGCCTGTGCACTGTGCTGAGCTTCTTCCGACCCAGACTTGAGTAAGAAGAAGAACGGAGCACCTATTATCAAACGTGTGCCATGATATTGATCCGTTGTTCAAACCACAAGTGTACATATGTTCAAAAAATGTAGCTTTTACGTACAAAAATTATAGATGTGGACCATTCTGAAGAAATCCTAAATGGCCGCTGTTTATCTTGGTTTCCATAGCAGCCGTTGAGCGCGCAGTCAGTTTGACAGTATTTTATTGTTCAACGTTGTACAGTACATAGCCATATACCATATCAGAACACAGACACGAAAAAGTATACCATTTAGTTTTCTGATTTCAAGATGGCCTTAATTGGGCTTCTAAGTAGAAACACGTGAACGTGTGATGCGTTCCTTGGGACTTAGAGAGTTTTAATGCTCCAGTCTCCAGAGTTAAACCAAACAGAAGGTTCAGAAAATATCACACGAGTTTCTCAGTGATTGTTTCCCGTGTGGGTTCTGGGATCCCATTGTGGGGAAAACAAGAAGAAACCCGCTGCCTCCCTAACAAGCATGTCTGAAGAGTCGACTAATTGGGGTGCTTTCTTCGAAGTCGGTGTCCATCTGCCGGAGAGGCAATGAATGCATCAGTCTATCACAAATCTGTAAAACGAATGTACACGCAGCGCTCGAGTTCTGGAACAAAACTAAAGTCCAGAAGTGGATCGACCACCAAAACCTTCGGCCGGAGTTTACAGCCGGAGATGGCATACAAGAAGAAGAAAGAAGAAGAAGAAGAAGAAGAAGAAGAAGAAGAAGAAGAAGAAGAAGAAGAAGAAGAAGAAGAAGAAGAAGAAGAAGAAGAAGAAGAAGAAGAAGAAGAAGAAGAAGAAGAAGACTAGTGAATCTTGAACATAATAGTAATATGCAGGATGTTTTGGTGTGTTGTGTGTGAGAGATTACGGGGTTGTATATGTGTGGTTTTGAGTGTGTGTATGTGTGTATATATATATATATATATATATATATGTGTGTGTGTGTGTGTGTGTGTGTGTGTGTGTGTTGTTCTAACTAGAAACGCTTTAAGGCCACCTTGAAGTCGTCACTCAATGCATTTGGGATGAATGACACCAATTGGCAGGTTGCCTCTAAGGACCGAAATGCATGGCGTGCAAATCTACACAAGGGCGCGGCTACCTGTGAAGAACAGCAAGTCTGATTAAGAAAAGGATGGACAGAAAGGCGACTGCAGGAGATCCCCTCCCTGGTACAACGCTCATTTCCTGTCCTCACTGTCCAAGAATTTTTCAGACCCGCATCGGCCTCATCAGTCATCTTCGTACTTGATGAAAAATAGTGGTCATCATCATCTTGATGGACAACACACACACACACACACACACACACATTGTTCTAATTATTATTACAATTCGGTCTGGGCAAGGGTTTATTGTAGAAGTTTGCCAGAACTGGGCGAAGTATGATTTGACGTTGAGTCAATAGACCGCTACAGTAGCCATGATGGTCATCCAAGGGCAACCCAAAACGCCCTGGCCAGCTGGTCACTGGTGAAACTGCGAAAGGCCTGGCAAGCCGGCTATGGATTTATTATCACTACAGAGAATACAAGGGAGTTGCCGTGGTCTAGCTGCTAGAAGCTCGCCTGCGGATCGGAAGGTCGTGGGTTCGGTTCCTGAATGAGGCCGGACTTTTTTTCAAAAATGATCTTGACTCTAAGGTTGACCCACTCTTGAGTGGGTACCAGGTACAGTCTTAGGAAGTAAAGGCGGCCGGTGTGATGCTGACCACATCACCCACCAATTGCCGTTTAGTCTATAAAATATAGATCTAACCCTATATACCAAATACGCCTGAAAGGGTAGAAAAGGGTCCTTCACTTTTACAGAGAATACAAGGGGATATACACAGACGTATCAAACGGTATTCGACTATGGAAATGGTAGAGAGCTAATACAAAGGGATATACACAGACGTATCAAACGGTATTCGACTATGGAAATGGTAGAGAGCTAATACAAAGGGATATACACAGACGTATCAAACGGTATTCGACTATGGAAATGGTAGAGAGCCAATACAAGGGGATATACACAGACGTATCAAACGGTATTCGACTATGGAAATGGTAGAGAGCCAATACAAGGGGATATACACAGACGTATCAAACGGTATTCGACTATGGAAATGGTAGAGAGCCAATACAAGGGGATATACACAGACGTATCAAACGGTATTCGACTATGGAAATGGTAGAGAGCTAATACAAGGGGATATACACAGACGTATCAAACGGTATTCGACTATGGAAATGGTAGAGAGCCAATACAAGGGGATATACACAGACGTATCAAACGGTATTCGACTATGGAAATGGTAGAGAGCTACGAGACATACAAGAGAAATATAATACTACAACACTTGACACCGCAGGCCTGGGAAATAAAACATGAGATAATTTTTGAAATAATGGAAAGAATTACAATCACAATAATGGGTCTAATTTACATTAGTCATGAAGGAAATGTCAACAATAACATAGAGCCTACTTACTAACATACACAGGTGAAGAATCATCATAGAATGGAGTGGGTTTCCTGGTACTTTGAGACATAAAAGTAAAAAAAAAAAAAGGAAAGATCCCTTTCCACGCCTTTCGGCGCATCGGGCATATGGGCAGAGCGTCCCATATTTTTACAGACCATCAGCACTCTGTGGGTAATGTGGTCAGCATTATGCCGGCTGTCTTCACTTTCCCAGGACAGCCCATCCTGGTACCCATTTTGGCTGGGTCGACCTGCGACGTCCCATACCACGACAAAAATCCACGCAGCCTGCAGTGGGTTTCTATCGCGGTATGCTGGCTGACGAGTCGGACTCGCAACGCCTTAAATACGGACGCCGCATAGCTAACCATATATGAGAATCAATTATCACTCAGACAAGCAGATTAGGCCCTATATGTCCAATACGCCTGAAGAACGTAGAAAATAGTTCTTTTAGTGACGGCTGATGACTACTTTGCTCACAGTTTGAAAGATGACGTGTCTCCTCCGCCTCTACATACTGGTAATTGCTTGTATTCTGGGGGTGTCATCAAACGAAACGGCCAGCGCCATTGAGGTTCAGTATCATGTGTACATTTGTATATGTCTGTCTGTCTGTCTGTCTGTCTGTCTGTCTGTCTGTCTGTCTGTCTGTCTGTCTGTCTGTCTGTCTGTCTGTCTGTCTGTCTGTCTGTCTGTCTGTCTGTCTGTCTGTCTGTCTGTCTGTCTGTCCGTCCGTCCGTCCGTCCGTCCGTCTGTCTGTCTGTCTGTCTGTCTGTCTGTCTGTCTGTCTGTCTGTCTGTCTGTCTGTCTGTCTGTCTGTCTGTCTGTCTGTCTGTCTGTCTGTCTGTCTGTCTGTCTGTCTGTCTGTCTGTCTGTCTGTCTGTCTGTCTGTCTGTCTGTCCGTCTGTCCGTCCATCCGTCCGTCCGTCCGTTCTTCCGTCTGTCTGTCTGTCTGTCTGTCTGTCTGTCTGTCTGTCTGTCTGTCTGTCTGTCTGTCTGTCTGTCTGTCTGTCTGTCTGTCTGTCTGTCTGTCTGTGTGTCTGTCTGTCTGCCTGTCTGTCTGTCTGTCTGTTTGGTGTTTCGTATGCATTAAAGTTGTATTGATATATCCTTAAATGTATGTAAAGATCCTCATTATTTCAGCCTATAATATGTATGTGTATATATATTTATAAAGGGACTGTTTAACGTCTCATACACTTTGTTGTGAGAAAGCATGTCGAGAAAGGTGGAGACAGGCATGCTCCGTGTAGAGTGGCAAACATCACTTCAGAGGTCCTGGGTAGTTAGCATCCTTTGGATATTTTGTCAGTTCATGCCGGTGTGTTGGTAAATGAGCAGACAGTTAGACTGGTGGGTTGTGTATTACTTGGCGGTGAACTGATGTATGACAAGCTATATGTTTTAAGAGCAATTTGAGAGCGAGTGAACAGTGCGGAAGCACAATTAGGTCATTACGGTCTGAATGAGAGGCTCTGCGAGGAGTGACCAGGGGATCTTGTCGACGCTCAACACTCAAGGCAAAGGCGAAACAGATATACAATCAGACATTTGCTGGTGCCATCAGAAGTGGAACTCTCCGCTTATGGCTGTGTCCCGAGTGCTATGATGTCGATTCTTAACTCAACATGCAACACTCTTTGTCTTAGTCTTAGTCAAGGTTTCAACTTCACCGCAATCTGGTTTTCCCATACTTGCTCCGTTCCTGAGCCAGTGAAAATCAAATGAAACGTCCCTCACTGTAACATTTGAAAAACTGGTCAACAAACAATTAGTCACAGAACAATCTAGAAATATGCGCATACAAAAATGCAAATGGCAGTTGCTAGAGACGCCAAAACCAAAATTCGACACCAGAAATGCAGTTTGTCGTTGATGGAAATAGTCAGGCACTTTAAGCTGGCTATACAGACGTAGAATTATTACATGAGGTATTTCACCAGGTCACACATAAACCGGCTAGCGGCCAAATTGAATACCACGGTTCAACCGCTGCACAAATGAAAAGCTTTCCACATAGAAAACACAGCTCACGAGGCTACATCAAGCACTAAATTCAGTAAACACACTTTGTGTTCAAAACATATTTGAACAACGAAGTATATTACGTCATCAAAACAAAATGAGCTAAAATGTCATTAAGTTACTTAAAATAGGTTAGCGCTGTTTTTGATGAGCTGGAGAGGGCCGATTAAAAATTCATTATAACAGGTGTTGGAAATGTCCATCACGGCTTCAATGCATAGCTGTATACCTTTTTTCCTATTCTAGAATATCTTCTGCAATCATCCGAGTGTATCGACCACTATTTCGAAACACTTGTTCAACCCAAAATATTCTTTCTTCCATTGATGAGACCCTTCTGTTTTGAGTGCAACGAATTAATCATGCAGACGACAGCCATTCACTGCTTACTGTGCATATTGCTTCACACTTAGTTAGTTAGTTAGTTAGTTAGTTAGTTGGGTTATCATCATTGCACTCCGGACATGTCCATAGGTGCTCAGATCCTCCCCTCAGTATGAACCCCAACGTCCGATGGCTAATAGTACCAGTTCTATGTTGATTAACAAGTCTTCTGACGTGTCCGGTGTGCGTCTAGTTTTTTGCTGTGCCGATCTTAATTCCCAAGTCTGCCATTCTGGCGAGTGATGTGGATTCCCTGCCACCAAAGTCCTCTATTCTTCCCATTTCTCTGAGGGCATTGATAATATCAGCATGATCCATAGGCCGACCGTCGGTAGTGATAGCGGATCCAGCCAACCTGTCAGCTCTTTCATTTCCATCGACGCCTGCGTCTCCCGGAACAAAAATAAAGGTGACTCCTCGCACAGTGGACTTCTGAATTGATTCAAGCCATTGTCTTCGCACTGAACCTGCCTGAACCCTCCGGATCATACTCATTGAATCACTGAGTATACATATGCGGGTGTATTTTTGTGTTTCAAGCCAGGCAAACGCTTGCGTCACTGCCATCACCTCCATCGTCATGGTGCTGGTTGTCATGGAGAAGGCACCGTTGGCTTCTTTGACTGTTCTGCCCGCCGAGCGTGCTGTAAATGCCCATGCGCTTCTTCTTTGGCGTATAACGGATCCGTCTGTATAGATTAGTGCATCTGCTTCGTCTGAATTTTCACCGATGAGAGCGTTGACCTCTGCATTAACAGCAACAGGATTCTCTTCTCTACATCGCCTGTTGAGTATGACAATACAGGAAAATGTACAAATAAATGCCTGAGGCACAGGTATCCATTCTGCACCAGGTA